TGGACCATCTCCTACACGGAGTGACAGTAAAGTGAACAGAGTGCAAGTAGACCAGAGGTAAAACAGGCAGGAGCCAGAGGTGACAGGGCCAAATTACAAGAGGGAGCAACAAAAAAGACTGAAGGTGGCAGACTAGGAAGAAGTCACACCCTCTCAGGAGAGGGTGAAGAGAAGAGAAAGCATTTTCAGTGGGAGCCTGAATTGTGGAAAAGGCAGGAAGCAGGCAAAATACAAAGAAACCAACAAGAAAGTCTAGACAAATGGAAGAAAAAATGTAAAAGTGGGACCAAGTGATAAGCAGAGAGGATAGAAGGGGAAAGAAATGAAAGAATGAAGCCACAAAGTAAAACAGGCCTACTAGGTAAGGAATAGTACAGCAAAATAAATGCTTTATGGAATTTTGCTTCATTAAATTAAAAATCTGCTCTTGCCCTTATATATATTTTTTTCCCCTCTTGGGTAAAACTTTCATAGGAGCAAAAACTTTCCTTAGTTTACAAGGGAGAAAGTTACTGTAGATCATTATCAATGATAAGGTCAAAACAGATGAAAAGAGCTGAAGACAATGTGCTGCTGAACTGTTGGAGAGTGCGTGTGAAGTACTCGCCTCTACCTTCCAACACGTGAGCACTTTTGCAATATGCATACTTTCCTAGCCATTCTGTTAATGATTAGAACTGATAAAATAGCATCGTCCCGCTCACCTCTGCTGCAAGACCAAAGCCCCAGATGGAGTCCTGGGCTCAGTAGGGTCTTTGAATTGGAATAGCATTGCTTCGTAATGTTGCTGCATGTGCTGTTGAGATGCCAGCACGCATCTGCGTGTGGTGCGTGGAGTGGGATGGGAGTCCGCCTCTACTCTACCTCCACCGGGGCTGGTGTGGTCTGCAGAGGACTCTCCTTGGCTGGGAAATTGAAAGTGGAGTCCGTGGGAGGAGCCACAGAACACTGGTTACGCACCTGGAGTAAAACGCGCCGTAGTCGGCAGGATTCGAACCTGCGCGGGGAGACCCCAATGGATTTCTAGTCCATCGCCTTAACCACTCGGCCACGACTACACGGTCCCCAGCGCCCCACAGAGGGCCAAGGAGACTCGGCGAGCCAGGGTCGCCGCAGGACCTGCGCTCGGGCTGTGGATCCCTCGGCGACCGCAGGGCCCAAGCCGCAGCGCCAGGCACGCCACCCTGGAGGCTGCAGTCCAGCCCCAGGCGTGCGCTGCGGAGCCGACGGGCCTCCAGCCCCTGGCGAGTGCGGGCCGGGGGCCCAGGTGGAGGCCGCTCTCCGCCCCAGGCAGCCCACAGTGCCAGCTGCGCCCGACGGCCAGGAGCGAGGTCTGCAGGCTGAACTGCCGCTTGAAGCTGCGGGTCACCGGTCGTCCTGGGCCCTTGGGGAGCCCAGATGGCTTCAATTGCTTTCTGTCTACTTCCTGGGACGTCACTTCGCCTAAATACATAAACGAGAAACAGGGACGAAGGGAAGGAGCGGGGAGGAGACGAGGAGGGGGCAGGCAGGGAGAGCGGACCTGCAGGAAGGACACGAAGCACTGTCCGTAAGAATTGTGCGGTAGCGGACTGTCTATATGTACGCCTATCTCGTCCTTTTAACTCCGTGTGCACATTTTTAACACACCTATATTTATGTGTGCATTTGCTCAAGTCATTTGGAATCTGGTTTCAAGTGAAATTAGATAACCAAGAGACTCCGGGGCTGGGGTTGGCTCGGGGTGGAGCGCGTGCTTCCTACCCGTGAGGGACGGAGTTCGGCCCTCAGCACCACCTAGAAATGAGTAAGTAATTGAAGGTATTGTGTCCATCCAGAACTTAAAAAAAAAATAAAAAAAGGGAACTCCAAGGCCTTTTGCATTTTTTTAAAAAAATTGCATCAAAGTAGAAAGCAATTAGTGATGTATTTGAATTGAAATTATTAATCAACCGTCTTAGGGTAACAATCAACAGGGACTGGTCACAACTGCAGTCTTTACTAGTTTGGAAGTAAAAAAAAAAAATGACAGAATGGATCTCGGTGAAAGAAAAATCAGAATATGGAAGAATCTCACAAATATTGAGTGAAAAAAAATCAGAYACAAAAGAATACACAGTACCAAAACAGGTGGAACTCATCTATGTTAGAAGTGGGAAAGAATGTGACTCTTGGAAGACCTGACTAGGAGTGTCCCCTTGCCCTTTAGAGCGGCTTCTGGGATCCTGATAAAAGTCTTAGTTCTTAATTTGAGTGAAGGGTATACAGGGTATAAATTTATGGAGTTGTTGATTTTGTATGCTTTGTGTGTATATGTGTGTGTATTAAACATTAGTAAATATTTTTCTTTTGATAAGTAACATTTATTAAACATATTTATCTAATGACACACTAAGATATTATTTATGCATTTCAGTAAAGTATCTGGTTATTACCAGATTCCTAGTCATTGTGCAAAAAGACATTTTAATAAAGCAGGGTAATATTTAAAATATTAATATTTGCATTTTTTGAGAATTTTCATTCTTTTCTTTCTTTGGCAATCTGAAATAATTAAATGTTAATTCAAGTAAAGTATTAAAAATACATGGGGAGGGGGCTGGGGTTGTGGCTCAGTGGTAGAGTGCTAGCCTAGCATGTGCAAGGCCCTGGGTTCGATCCTCAGCACCACATAAAAATAAATAAAGGTATTGTGTCCAACTACAACTAAAAAATAAATATTAAAAAAAAAAAGACCATGTCATGGACATCTTACCCTGCATAATTCTTTCTACAAAGCCAGGGCTCAGTAAACATTCAATGCTTAGTAACAAATTAAAAAAAAAAAAAAAAAAAAAAAACATGGGGGCTGGGGCTGTAGCTCAGTGGTAGAGTTCTTGCCTTGCAGGTGTGAGGCCCTGGGTTCGATCCTCAGCACCCATAAAAATAAATAAAGATATTAAAAAATAAAAATACAGGTTGACACCAAGAAAAAAACTCAATAAGCTTTGACTTTTACTTGCTTAATTATACTTCTATTCAATAAATCTTAACTTTTTTGCAGATAGGTTTTCTTGGTGCTTGGCATACAGAAGGTGCCCAATAAATGTTTTATGTACATACTCAAGGGAACATTATACTACTTCCCTTTTATGTAGAGACCCAATTGATAAAACTAGAGAAGTCACTGAACACAGTAATCTACCTGTTACCTCAACATTTACTGAATATCTCATTTGTACAAGGTCTGAAAATTTTCCAAACTCATCTAGTGCTGGTTCCCTTTTGCTTCAGTTCTTTCCTCAGTTCACCTCTTTCCTCATGCATTTTACTATAAGCAGCAATGAAAACACCCGACTGTACATTGCACACTTTCATTGGAAACCTCCTTAGCCAAATATTCAAGTTCATCACCTACAAGTTGTTTTCCACCCAACCGTGGTGCACATTTCAGCCAAATCTCTGTAACAAGGGTCACTGTTCATTTTCTAATTATCTGCCCTCATTTCCTTCAAGAACTTAATGAAAGCATTCATATATTTTAACATTCATACATTTTTCAATTAATGGGCTTTATTTTTGAAAAGTTTTAGATTTTTAGGATTTTTAAATTTTTTTTTTTTTTTTTTTTGGTATCAGGATTGAACCAGGGGCATTCAAACTCTGAGTCACATCCCCAGCCCTTTTTCCTATTTTATTTAGAGCAGGGTCTCACTCAGTTGCTTAGGCCCTTGCTGAACTGCTGAGGCTGGCTTAATTACAGACATGCACCACTGCATCCGGCCAATTTACAGGAAAATTGAGTGAAAAGTACAGATTGTTCTAATATACTCCCCTCCCTCCTCCTTCTGGTTTTCTCTCTTATTAACAGCTTGCATTATAGTGGCACATTTGTTAGAAGTGATAAGCCACTATGGATAAATTATTCTTACCTAAACACCATAGTTTACATTAGGGTTCATGCTTTTTAAAACATTTTTTAGTTTTAGTTGGACACAATATCTTTATTTTGTCTATTTTTATGTGGTGCTGAAGATCTAACCCAGGGCCTCACACGCTAAGCAAGCGCTCTATGGATGAGCCACAATCCTAGACCCAGTATTCATACGTGTGCTGAACATTTTTATGGGTTTTGATAGATATATAATGGCATGTACCCACCACTGCAGTATCATATAGTTTACTGTTTCAGAAATCCCTGTGCTCCACCTATTCATCCTTCTTCCAGCCCCCAAATCCATGGCTACCATTGCCTCTGTAGTTTTTGCCTTTTCTGGAATGTTGTATAGGTGCAACCATACACTAGGCAGCCTTTCTGATTGACACACAACTACAAGTACAGGTTACCACCATCTCTGGGAGTTGTAGCATCTTGAAAGATGTGGGCCCCACACATTTGAAAGTCCTAAAAACAATGTTAAGGGTGACAACCGGTATTTTTATAATGGCAAAGGAAAAAAACAAACATCAGACTGTAGGACAGGCGATAAAGTAGTGGTGGGTGGTGAAATGCCTGTTTGTTTCTTTGTTTTGTTTCTACTGAGAAAGCATCCACTATGGAGCTGAAGCCAATTCAGCCACGTGGTTTCCCGGTGATCACACAGATTTAAGACATACTGCTTGGAGCAGCAGGAAGGAGTTTAGCAAAAATGATAAGAAAACTAGGACAGTGGGTCCTCTCAGGGAGGAGTGGGATAGTAGACCCCTTCTGTTCGCCTGTCAGTCTCAGGCAAGTTCCCAACGTCCTGCCCAGGTCCAACTCTTGACTTTTGACTGAGAGCCGGAGTGCATCAGACTTTCAAGGCTCACTGCTCAGTCTTACCCTATGGAGCAGAGAGTTGTACTATTATGACGGGCTAAAGATTCGAGGTCATTTTGCCCTGCACTGCCAGTTTTAATTGAACTTGTTCTTACAGATTTTATGGTTAAAAGGCTTTTGCTTCTAATTATCTGAGTCTTGAAATTTGTGTGTTAGTAGTAGTTAGCAACGAGCAGTGGAAATGCAATCCAATAATTCAGGAGGATCGTGGGGCTTCATTGAATTCCCTTTAATGAACAATCAAGTAACACAGAGAAACAATAGGCATGTTAACTCTTGAGAATAAACAGGTGAAAATAAAAGCTAATTCCCGACAGAGTCTGGGTTTCTCAATATGTATCAACAGGGAAATTTCCAAAGTGCAGGCAATAATAAAGTTTGCCCCGTCATTGACCCTAGCACCCACTTTGACAGGATCGCCTTGAAGAAGCGCCCCTTTACTGGGATGGTCCTCAGGACGAGGGTCAAAAGCTGCCCCTGCTGGACGTGAAGGAGGTGTGAATCGTCTGGTTGCCCAGACTGAAGGTGGCACCTCGGTCCCCGCCAACCTCAGTGACCAGGCCTGGAGGAGCTCCGTTTCTCTGCCGTCCTCTGCTCGGAGCCGACCTCTCGCAGACTGTTCTCTTGAACCTTACTTTACTTTCACAAAGCCTCCGGCTGGATTTCCATGTGAGGCTTTAAGTTTTCTTCGGCGGACAAGGGGCACAAGAACCAGGGCTGGGCGTCAGCTCCCCGCTCGCGCGGCCGCCGGGTGGGTCACGAAGGCGCCCGTCCCGGGAGACGTGCGCCCCTGCGGCGCTCCGGGCCTGCGTCGCCTCCGCAGGTGTCTGACCACCCAGACTGCGCTGAGTGCAAGCTGCTTCTAGAAGAAAGCGTGCGGCTAGCGCGGCGGGCAGACTACAGAACTGCCCCCACCGCTCACGGGTTACCTGTCAGTTTCAAAATTACGAAGAGAATCGGCAGGCCTACCAGCCCTGGGAGCGTGCCCGCCGCAGAACGGGCTCCGGCCGCCGGCCCCAGCAACTGCCGCCGACGCACGCCGGAAGTCCCTCGCATCGCGGCCGGCAGTGGGCACGCGTCATGACGTCACTGGGAAGCGTTGGAGGCGCGCCCTCGCGGCGTCTGCTGGGAGTTGTGGTCCGCCCTCGGTGGGTAGATCCAGCCTCCCGGGACCAGGCCGGAAGTGGCTGTTCCAGCCTAGAGGCGTGAAAAAGGTTGGCGTTCGGAAGTCCAGCCACGGGGGTGCCCTTCGTGAGGTCGGGTGACCGTCCCGGCGCTTCCAGAGCCAGGACTGCGGCGTGAGGCTCGCGGAGGGGAGGGCGGTGGCCTGGCGTCACCATGGTAACCGCCAGCCCTGCGGGCGCGTGACGTCACCCCTGGGCTGGCCGTGACGCGTCTGGGCTGGAGGAAGCCSGGGAGTCGGAGAAGGGGGCGCGCCTCGCCGGGTTGGCGCTGGCGGGCGGGCCCGCCCCGCTCTTCGCACGCTTTGTTCTTTTGTTCTGGTCTGCTGCGAAGTCGGGCCGCCCCAGCCGTAGCTCCGCAACAGGTGTGTCTTGGGCTCCCGCACCCACGGGGCGCCGCCAGGGAGAGGGGGCCGCCGCGGGCGCCCTGGCCCGGAGTGGCTGCGCCTCCAGAGCGCCGCACCCGAGGCGCGCCGCGCAGTCCGTGGGCGCTGGGTCCTGGTGCAGGGCCTCCGCGCCGCCGGAGGCTCAGGTGCGCCAGTGACGTGCCGCTGACTGCGTCCGGAGTCCGCCGGGCAGCCGGCCCTGGCGCCGGGGCTCGACTGCGCACGCACGGGGACTTCAGAGCCCCGCGTCACGCGGTGGCTGCAGGGGCGCGGCCCKGGAGCCCGGAGCCCGGAGYCCGGGCCCGAGGACGTGATGAGCTCCAGGGCCCGCGAGGGAGTGCGGACCCCGCGCAGCAGCCGCACCCCGCACTAGTACTAGCGGGGCTGGGGGCGCGCGTTCGAGGAGGGGACCGAGTGGCGTTCAGGGGGGGCGAGGGGCCGTCCCCTGGGCCTCCACGCGACCTCTGCCCAGTGAGAGAAGACCTCGCTGAGTGCGGGACTCAGCCCTGAAATGCTCGTGGCAGATGGCCGTCTGTCAGAACGTAGTGCTGCGAGGGTGGCTCCAAACTCGCCATTTTGGGTGCGACAACTCCTTGCTGGCTTTCTTTTTCAGTTCCTCGTGTTAGACTGGCCTGCCTGTTCGGTGGCCTCGGTGTTGGCCTTGACTCTTGGTCTCTGAAAGCACCGGAGCTGCTCTTCCTTCTTGGCAGGTGAATCCGGCTGTTGCAGACCCGCCCCCAGATCCCTCTCCTCCGCAGTCTGGCCTCCGGGCCTCGGGTCGGTCTGTGAGACCGTCCAGGCTTCTCTGCATCGCCTTAAAGCGCAGGGCCCGRAACCGAACCTCGTTCTTGAGATGTGCTTTGAAAATACCTGGAAGTATGATGTAGTACTGTTTTTTATGTGGATTTAGTTGGACATCAAATTTTATTTATTTTTTTAAAACGTCAGTAATATTCTTTTTTGCATAAACTGAATGAATTAGATTAACGCTGTTCTTATAASGGGATTGTTATCCTTAACATCAACATTGGCGTTTGTGATTGTTTTGATGTTTTGGGGTGGGGTCGGTTGTTCCTGTCAGAATAATTACAAAACCTGATTTGGTTATTCAGTGTTTTAATTGTCCTTTCGAACTTTATGTCATTACAAATCTTCTGTTTCTTCCTGAATGTTATTGAACAGGTCAAGGTAAGGGGAAGCCCTGTAACATGGCACTGTAGATGTCCTCTGCATTGTCATTGTCATTACAGTCTTTCAGTAAGACTGTGTGGACAGGTTTAGTGATTGTCATTCAGCSCTTTTTCTTGCATTGTTAAGAATAACATCATTAAAAGTCTCAACATTATTTATATTGTTGATGTAGGTTTGAACTGAACTTTATATTTGTCCTCATTTTTTTACCCCTTATATCTTTTTATAATGTTCTTTTAAATTCTAAGATCCTCAGAATTGAATGGGCCAAAATGGTTTCATTAAGACTTTTTTTTCCCTTCTTTTTGAGACTTTTCATAATTGCATAATTAGAATCATCTTTTCTGAGCCTCTGTGCCTTTTGATCTTTTGCTTGCATCCTCACCTAGTATTTACTTTAACCCAGGCACACAACTGGCTTCTGTAACTGTTATAGGTGTTGCTTATTTGGTTGCTGTTACTTGCAATCATAAGTGTTCTACCTGAGACATTTTTCATGATCCTGATTTTCCCAGAGTTTTGGGTAACCAATTATCAGTGTACAACATTTTCTTTCACTGATAAAAACTACAAGATAACATCTTCATTTTTACTGAAGAGTTCTGTTTTTAAAAGTTTTTTCGTTTATTGAAAGTTCAGTTGGGATAAATTCCCTTTATTGTTTCTTTTTTTTTTTTTTTTTTGCAGGGCTATGGATTGTAACCACAGCCTTGCTCTTGCTAGGTGAACACTCTACACCTGAGTTGCATCCCAGCCCCACATCCTCTTCTTGGGCATGACACCATTAAGATAAATCAAGAATCTCTTGACTGGCAGATGTTTCTTTTTCACAGAGTGAAATTTGTATTCCTATGCAGACAGATGAAGCTAGGGACCATCCTGGCTCTCCTTCCGTTCTCCATCACCTCCACCTGCCTCAACTGACTGTGATGTGGAGCTGCTTTTATTCTTTTTCCTATCTATAGTTCCATGTTTCTCACTGGGATTACTGCATTGGATAGTTATTTTTCCTGTTTCTATCAGATCAGTTTGAGTAAATTTTACCCAGCCCTCTTTAATCCACAGCTTGATTGCAAAACCTTCAATAGGCCAGAGGGATTTTTCTRTAATTTGAGTCTTGGGCCTGAAATCAGATGACACAGATCCCCTCATGGTGGTGTCCAAAGAAACTGTGCACCTTAATGGTACTTGCTAGATCCTCTGAAATGACTTGGGTCCTGTCTGTTTGAATATTCAATGTTTTTGTTTTTCATGGTCCCCAATATCTTTATATTTAATCCCTTCTTTTTTTTTTCTTTTTTAAGTTCTGTGGTTTGAGGGTCTTAACTCCAGTTATAACTTACATCCCAACAACCTTGGTGATACCTAAATAATTGTGCTTCTCTCCTTCTATTCAGAGTTAAATCTGCTTGACTTATTGCTACAATATCATGCATTTGGGTCTGTAGTCATAAATAGTCTTCATTATTTGTTTAGTATTTACTTATTGGAGATGGTGTCTCACTGCATTGCCCAAAATGGTGGCCATAAATTCCTGGGCTGTAGCCATCTTCCTGTCTCAGCCTCCCAATAGCTGGGACTACAGGCATGTGCCCCATACCCAGATTAAATAACCTTCTTGATTTTTACCTGTTTTATTTTTGCCAACCTTCTTTTACAGTGTTATTAGTCTTTTATTTCATAATTCATATCTTTAATTTTAAATTTATAACCAGAACCATCTTCCCTAGCTTGTGTTTCTAAATAAATTAAAATTGAAAGGGGAGAAAATTCTTCTGGCCTGTGTCTTTAAGGAAACAGGTACATCTAATTTTGTTTTCCTCATCTTTATCTCTTCCTCAAGATAATTTTAAAAAGCATATTTGCCAGACGTTTGTCTCCACACTTTTGAAGATGTGGGAATCAAAGCTAGAGAAGAGTAGGGCTTATATAATTGTGCGTGATCAATTAATATTCATTAGTAGTTCTGAGAACCAGGCTTTGCTGACAACCTGAACTAGGAATAGATCTCCCCAAGAGCAAAGTTTGTTTTTGTTTTGTTTATTGAGATACAGGTTACATGTAGACAGTGTCAAATATACTAGTGTAACCTACACCCMCATCAAGTCAGAAAATTTCCAATGCCTCAGTCTCTTGTTTCCCTGCCAGGGATTGAGGCCCTCAGAGGCAACCACTATTCTAATTCCCTTTCCATAGATCATTTTTGTCTGCTTTTTAACTTAATGGAGGCATGCAGTATGTATTCTTCCATGTCTGGATTATTTTACTTGACATTGTTAATGAGTAGCTTTTTCCTATATATTTTGGAATAGTCTTTTATTGTATGAATACACCATGGTTTGTTCATCCATTTTCCTGTTGAAAGACGTTTGGGCTGGGTGGTGGTGCACACCTGTAATGCCAGTGACTGGAGAGGCAGAGCTTCAGGAGGAYTGCAAGTTCACAGCCAGCCTGGGCAACTTATCAGACTGTCTGTCTCCAGACAGAGATAAAGGGGTGGGGGTGCAACTGGTAGAGTGCCCCAGGTTCCATCCCCAGTCCTGCAAAAAACAAAAAAGTGGGGAAAAGGGGGGAGGGGCATTTGGGTTTTTTCCAGTTTGAGGATATTAAGAATAAACCTGCCATGAATATTCTTATGCAAATCTTTTTTTAATTGATTCTTAGTTATAAATGACAGTAGAATCCATTTTGACGAAATTTTACAAGCATGGACTGTAGTTTATTCTAATTAGGACCCCATTGTGGTGGGCACRATGGTGGAATTCACTTAGGTATTTCTAATATGTACTTAGGAAAATCTGTTGGGTTTTTTCTACTGTCTTTCTTATTCCTAGCCCCCTTCTTACACAAATCTTTACAGGGACACAGGCCCTCTAGTTGTATGCATAAGTGTGGAATGAAAGCATCATGGAGTGAACGTACGTTTACCTTTAGTATGCACTACCAGCTCTCCTAAGTGCTTGGTCAGCTTACACCCTCATAACAATGTGCAAAAGTTCCAGTTGCCATAATTACTATTGACCAGGTCTCTTCGATTTCAGACATTCTAGTGGGTAGGCAGTATAAATTGTGTTACTGTGAGATTTAATTTGCATTAATGGCAAAATTTTCAAATGGCCTATGAAGACTTTTGGAAAGTAATCTGAATATTATGTGTAGCAAAGAAAAGGAGCAAAACTATTTTGCCTCCCTTAATGAAGAACATAGAGATGTATGATCCATATTACTAATTAAATATCTAGGGACAAAACTGCATCTAAAGTAACGGCTTAACTCTATAGAGCTTACTGAGGAGGGTGCCAGCACCCCAGTTAACAGTTATCTTGCATCTTTTTTTTTTTTTTTTCCGAAATATAAAGGAAATGGCATAGTTTTGGCTATTTCCAAATAGAAAAGTAGGTGGATTTTGTGGTTTGCTGGGAGCAGCTAATGTACATAGAATTCATCATGGCCTTTTCTTCCTCCCCTAGGTATGTCTTCTCCAGACGACCCCCTTCTCGATGGGGAATGTACCCTACTCCCATCAGCCAGTTTTCAGGTAAGTTGGGATTTTCTGAAGTACTGTTTCATTTCTCAGAGTAGGATTGTGTTTTTTGCTGTGGAGTATATTTATCCAAAAGCCAATGTTGCAATTTATTCTGGACTTTCATTTGTCCAGTGACTCATTGCCATCTCTGCTTCCCCAGCTTTGACTAATCCATTCACCACTTACTCTTGCTTAGTATCTTGCAGTGTTCCAGGGATAGTAGAGCACACTTGATTCTTTACTTGGATCAGCCAAAATGACTGCTAAAAACCAGAACAGCTAAATATAGGAAAGGTGAATGAGTACCGTGGAAATTGGAGAATGAGGAAGCTTATGTGATCTGGAGGGTATTTCCAGAGTTTCAGGGGGGATCTGGGATTTGGGCTGCCTCTCAAAGGAAGGGTGAAACTTGGATATTTGAACAAATAAGGTGCAAGGGATGGATTCTAGGTATGCAGAAGGAGATTATATGCAGAGATTCACAAGGAAGCAGTAGCAAGGGTTACACAGGATTCAGAGAAATCTGGAGATGTTTCTGCTGTGTTAAACAAATGTTGGAGGAGATCAGATTGTGAAAGGCCTTGAGCACCTGGATGAGAAGCTGAAGGCTTTCTCCTTTAGGCCATTTGTGAACCTTCACTAGTTTCTAATGGAGGAAAGGTGCCTGCTGACGTTTTTAGCAGAAACAGTTGCTTGAGAACTTGGTCAGGTAATAGTTGCTGCACCAACCATAGTCACCTGTCAGCCCCCTTGATCGGGTTCCGTCTTAGTCTTTCCCCCCTGCTTCCTTCCTGTCCCACAACSTAATCTTCTTTCCAAAGAAGTGGTCCCAGTTCTTCCCACTTTCAGTTTAAGCATTTTTAGTATCACTGTATTTTTTACTGAGGTATACTATGACAAAAAGTACGTGGAGTCATCCCTTGGTGTCCTCACAGATACGAACATCCATGGATGCTCCAGTTCCTTATATGAAAGGGTACACAACCTATGCATGTCCTCCTGAATACTTACTTGTAGTTTACTCATAATGTCAAATACAATGTACAGTGTAAGTAAACAGTTGTTATTATATGTTATTTATGGAATAATGACAAGAGAAAAGTCTGTGCCTRTTCAGATAAGTCTGTACTCCTTCAGACATAATCCATAGCCAGCTGAATCTGCAGATGCAGAGCCCACAAATGAGCAGGGTGAACATGTATTTGATAAGTTTGTACCCAGGTACATACTCATAGAGAAACTATATTTTGAATAATTGTATTTTTTTAGTTTATTGAGATTTGTTTTTTGATTTATTTTTTATTTTTGCTTTTTTGGCCAAGTATAATGGTTCATTCTGGTAAATGATTAGCACTAGAGAAGAATGTATATTTTTCTGCTATTGTGTGAAGTGTTCAATAGATACATTAGTTTGCTGCTACTGTACTTAATTACCACATGCTGTGTTATTACAGATGTTACTTTAGGTATGCATATTTGACTTACCACCGTTTACCTCGAAGTGATGAACCATTTCATGCATAGTGTACTTTGATCCCCCATTTTTACAYTATTTTTGCTTTGTATTTTACTTGTGCATATATTAAAAATCTTATAATACTTTGTTATTTTCATTTAGGCAGCTAATTATCTTTGAAAGAGGTTTAAATAATAATAAAAAAATCCCCATATATTTAGCTACCATTTCTGGTGTTCTTGATTTCTTCATGGTTCACAGTTGAAGGTGATTTTGATCCTAAGGAACATTTGGAAATGTTAGGACAYATTTTTAATTGTCTAACTTGATGAGGAGTACTACCAGTGTCTAGGGTGTACAGTGCTACAGGCAGGTAGCCATGCTGCCTATAGTACACAGGACAGCCCTCCTCCATTATTTAAGAGAGTCATCCAGTTATCAGCAGCTGAGGCTGAGAAATCTTGCTGTAGGATCTGTGTTTTATCTGATATTATTTTCCTTCTGATGAGGACTTCCTTAACATTCCTTGTATTGTATGAATCCATTCAGATTTTTATGTCTGAAATAGTATTTCCCTKTGTTTTTGAACTCTAATTTGGCAGACTTTTTTTTTCAGTACATGATAGTGTTCCACTGTCTTCTTGCTTGMATTGTTTCCAAGAAAAAAAACGATGTAATTTTATATTTGTTCCTTCATAAGTATTTTTTCCTTTGTTTGCTTTATTCTATCTCTGAATTTTCTTTTGGTGGAGTTTTCTTTATGTTTCTTATGCCAGCAGTTCATTGAATTTTTTGGATATGTGGGTTTATAATTTTCATCAATTTTGGAATATAATTAGCTTTTATTTCTTTGTCTTTTAAGCATACCTTTAATTTCTCCATCCACTCTTGTTGTCCAGGGATTCCAGTTACAAATTTATTGGACTACTTGAAATTGTTCCGGAACTTCCCTGTACTTTTTCTTTTTAAATTCCTTTTTTTCCTATCTGTTTCATTATAATTTCTACTTTTATGTCACTGAGGTTACTAATCATCTCTTCTTCAGTTCCTAATCAGTTAATATTATCAAGTGTATTTTTTATCTCAGAACATTCTTACTTTTGGATCTGTAAGTTCTGGGTGGTATTGTTCTTAATGTCTTCCATATCTCTTCCTAACTTTTTGAACATGGAATACAGTCCTTTTGCAGGGGAGGGGGCTGGGGGTGAGTAACTGAAGATTGAACTCGGGCACTCAACCACTGAGCCACATCCCCAGCCCTTTTCTGTATTTTTTATTTAGAGACAGGGTCTCACTGAGTTACTTAGCGCCTTGCTGTTGCTGAGGCTGGCTTTAAACCCATGATCCTCTGCCTCAGCCTCCCAAGTTGCTGGGATACAGTCTCAATAACTTTAATATTCTTGTCTGATATTTTTAGCTTCTAGACAGTTCTGGGCTGGTGTCCATTGATTGATGTTTCCCCCTAAGTATGACTTGTATTTTTCCACTTCTCTATATACTTGGTAATTTTCTGTTGCATGTAACACACTGGATTCTACATATTTTTATGTTCCTTTTTAAAAATTTTTCTTTTAGATACCAGGAGTGAATGGGTTCTTAACACTGAGCCATATCTCGAAGCCCATCCTCCTTCCCCACCTCTTTTATTTGGAGATAGTGTTGCTTAGGAAGCAAACAAAGTGAGTCCTGTGGATGCTCCATCCAGCTCACTGCTTGATAGTTCCCAAGTTGTGGGGAGGGAGGGGAACCCTGGGGGAGCCTTGATGCCCTGAGATGATGCTCCTCTCTGGTTGTCATGCATGCACACTAAGTTTCTGAGGCTGACTTTGAACTTGTGATCTGAGGGGTGCAGGTGTGTGCCACTGCCCCCAGCTCCTATGGTGTGTCCTTGATCCTTATTCCAGGATACAATTCAGTTACTGGAAACAGTGTTTGCTTTTCAGCCTGTTTATACAGTTCTTAGGTAACTCGGGAGTAGCAGTTAGACTAAATCCATTTGTCTGTTTATTCCCCCTACTAAGGCAGGACTGTTCTGAGAATTCTACCCAGTGCTGCATAAATTATGAAGTTTCCAGGTTGACTGATGGGAACAGACTGTTTTCAGCCCTTTGAGGTCTCTGAAGCCCTTTTGGGTGACTCGTTGGCCTTTGGTTATCTCACCACACCCTGGCACTGATGGTGCTTTGCGAGGCACTCATAAAGAGCTCTCATTGCTCCCCCCAGCAGTCTGTCCTGTGAACTCTAGTCACCTCAAGTCACAGAGCTGCCTCTTCATCCCAGGGCATCGAGGCTCCTCCAGGGTTCCCCTCCCTCCCCACAACTTGGGAACTATCAAGCAGTGAGCTGGATGGAGCATGCACGGGGCTCACTTTGTTTGCTTCCCAACCACTGAGCTTCATTACCTGAGGTTCTAGATGTTGGAACTTGTTTCATTTTGTCTGGAATTTTTGGTGTTTCATGCAGGAGGGTAAATCCAACTCCTGTTAATGCCATTTGGCCATGGCTTGATCCTACTGACATTGATTTTGGGACAGTAAGCTTATTAGGGTTGGTCCAGTATAACCTCTCTATAGGACTACATTTCCAGGACCTGTGGACAGTTTGGTTCAGCGATCCTCAGGAGCRGATCGTGACTCGGCTGTAATACTCTGAGAGTCTTACAGCCAACAGGGCCAGAAGGGAGGGCATTCATAAGCAGAGTCCAGACGTCTGGTCACAGGCTCCTCTCTGGTTGTCATGCATGCACCTGCTCACTGTGATCACAGACATGAGAAGCATCTACCCAGGCAAGTCTTCTTGAGCCTTGGAGTTCAGAGCTTTTAAATGTAGCTGCCAGATGGTCAGCTGTGGCACAGGCCCCACACTAGACACTGGGTCCATAACAGATGGTTCCTGTTTACTTTCAGCAGTGGAGACAGTCAGGCACATCTGCCCAGTGCTTCACACACCTAGAATGACATCAGCAGTCAGTGCTGTGTGAGCATTCCAAGTTTTAGTTTTAGAGCTTGTTCAAGGGTCATCATCATGGAGCCAGGTTTCCTTGGATGTACCAGGGACCAAGCCCAACAGACCTGCTGCTTCAACTCCTCCATTGCTGTCTGGACTTACCCTGTTCCTAGAGCATGCTGGGATTTTTCATGGGCGCCCATCATGCGCATCTCTTAATATTACATTTACTTGCCCATGGAAATCATATTTATATCAGATATTTGGAGCTCCTTCCTTCCAGTGGATTCCCTCCTTCAATAGTTAAGATCCCCAGTACTGTAAAAACAAGAAATATAGCAGATGTCTGCATAAAGTATTTTAGAGTAGATGTAGCATGTATTCTTTAGCCACCCTTCCTATTAATGGAAATGTTACTTTGATTTTTCTTCCCTCCAAGCCCTCCAGCACTTAGACTCTTTGCACCTTGAGGCATGTCTCCTGTAAGCAGTAAGCCGGAATTGAATGGCATATGCACTTAAAAATTCTGATAAGTCCTGCCACCTGCCCCTCAGCTGGAGTGCGTTCAGATTCTGTTCCCGCCACAGGACAAGAGCTGCTGCAGCATGTGCCTGTCTTACCCCTTCTGGTTTCAGAGTCGTGGTATGGAGCTTCTTTTCACAGTTTGTTACCAACTTCCTGCTGGACATTTTGGCACATGCTTGTAAATGCAGCTACTCCAGAGTCTGATGTGGGAGGATATTTAAGCACACAAGTTTGAGACCAGCCTGGGCAACATATTGAGATCCCCGTCCTAAAACACTCAAAAAATTCTTTATGTGACTTGCCTGTTTGTGTTATTGATCCTTTTTGTTGTAGTGGGTTGCTAATTATTTGTAGGAACTTAGAAGATTATCTTTTGTTTATGGTACTTTTTTAGAAGTTTTGTGTGTGTGTGCACACATGCACTGGAGTTGGAACCCAGGCAAGCAGTTTACCACAGAGCTGCACCCCTGGCCCCTATAGATTTTTGTGTAGTTATAGCTGTTAATCTGTTTGTCTTATAATTTTTACCTTTCAAATTTCAAGCTTATATGCTATTTTTCCTTTTACTTTACTATTTTACCTTTAAAAATTCATCATTAAGCTAGCAGGAATTTTTTGTGTGTGTTGTAAAGTGAGGATCTTAACTGAACTTTTTTGGCAAGTAGGCCTTTTTGTTTGTTGTTGTGGTTCTGGGAATTGAACCTCGGGCCTTACGCCTGCCAGGTGAGCATTCTGCTACTGAGCCACATTCCCAACCCACAAGAAGGCATTTGTCATGACACAGCTTGATGACTAATCCATCATACCTTAACTAATTTGAAAGTTGCTTAAGTCCATTAAACTCTGAAGCATGGGTCTGTTTCTGGACCCTCTATTTTGTTTTTGTTATAGGTACTAAAAAATACTGTTGATGATAGTTACACTGTTAATACATGATATGAACAGAGAGAGAGGATGGTAATGATGATGAACACCAGCAACACTCCATATTGATGGAGCGCTTCTTTCATGCCAGACCCTAAATTAAGCATTTCACATGGAACACTACTTTTTTTTTTTTTTTTTAGTTGTTCATACATGGACACATAACTTTAATTAATTAATTAATTAATTTTTAATGTACTGAGAATTGAACCCAGTGCCTCACATGTGCTAGGCAAGCACTACCACAAAGCTACAATGGCAGCCCTGGAACACTTCTTATTTAGTCCTGTGGGCAAAGTACTGCTTTTGTGTGTTTTTCAGAGGAAGACCTGTYGACATGGTTGTTTGGATAGTGTGTAGCCAGCCTTACTTCTTTTAGCACTGCTAACTTGACCTTCTCCTACAGCTAAGCAGAAATGTCTGTTTCAGGAATCGGTGACCTTCAAGGATGTGGTAGTGGACTTTACCCAAGAAGAATGGAAACAGCTGGACCCTGTACAGAGAGATTTGTTCAGGGATGTGACGCTGGAAAATTATACACATCTGGTCTCCATAGGTAAGTATGACCCCCTGAGTTAAGACTGGGCTGTGAAGGAGGAGGGCTCTCTCCTCACTTTTCCTTTAGGTTCAGGAGCCAACRGTATCTAGAGTTTGAGTTTTTGAGGTAGTTTCTACTTCTTTTTTTTTAATGTTTATTTTTTAGTTGTACACAATACCTTTACTTTGTTTATTTTTATGTGGTGCTGAGGATTGAACCCAGGGCCTCACATGTGCTAGACAAGCGCTGTACCACTGAGCCACAACCCCAGCCCAGTTTCTACTTCTTAATAAGCGAGGGACAAACTGATAGTTTTCTTGAATCCCATCCATGTTCAGGAACAGGTAACACTGAAGTTTGATACACTATTTTTTCCCGTCATATTTGTCCCACGTACCAGTTTCTCTAAACCAAAGTGATGAGACTGAAACTGAATTCTGATGTGGTCTTCTTCCCTAACTACAGACAGATTCTTTTATTTATTTATTTTTATTCCCCTTGGCAGGACTCCAAGTTTCCAAACCTGATGTGATTTCCCAGCTAGAGCAAGGGACAGAGCCATGGACTGTGGAACCATTGTGTCCCCTTGGAGGTGAGTAATGGGTGCTGGCAGATGAATGTCACTAGCTCCAGCTGCCAGCCCAGCAAGGGAGGGTTTCATGCCTGAGCTGTCAATGTGTATGCTTCTCTGTAAAGTATGTCCTGTAAAGAAAGAAAAATTATCTATCCTGCCTAGTCTTATATTCTGTCATGCAACTGTCATAATTTATATCCTATTTTTGCATTCCTTCTAGAGGATCGGTCATTCCTGCCTAGTCCTAAAGCCAGGATCTCTGTCTGCACTCTGGGTTCCCTTTCCTGCTTCCTTTGGGACCTTGATCTCATAATTTTCCATTTATTTTTTATCGCCCTGTTTTTTGTTTTGGATCTACAGGTTCTATCCCTGTTAACCATCAAACAGAAACAGTCTATATTTCCAAATACGATTACTCAACACTATTCATCTGTTTGCCTACCATCCTCTCTCTCTTTTCTTTCCAAACCTAGCTCACCAAAAGTGGTCTCTGTAGCAGCAACCTGCATCCCTTCACTTTCTGCATCTCATGCAGACCTTCTGACTCTGTCACTTTTCCAGRCTTATTTTGAAGCTGCAAGTGGCCTTCTTCTAAATCATCAGTGTCTAAACTGCACAGAGAAACCTTTTCTAGGACCGATCCTGGGGAAGGAATAACTAGTCTCTCTAGGCAAGGAATATATCCCTAGAGTTAATGGGGTGCAGTTGGAAATTCTCTTATAGCGGGAATAAAAATGTGAGTCATGGGGCTAGGGTTGTGGCTCAGTGTAGAGCACTTTCCTAGCATAAGTGAGGCACTGGGTTCTATCCCCGGCACCACATAAAAAAATAAACAAATAAAGGTATTGTGTCCATCTACAACTAAAAAAAAAAAAATGTGAGTCATATGTAATTTGGAAATGCTAGATTAGCTAAAATTATAACAAGTTTTTTACTTGAGTACCATGCAGAGATTTTTTTTAAATAGGCAATTAAGTATTATAAATCCCATGGTTGATGTATGAGGTGTCCCCCAAAAGCTCATGTATGAGATAATGCAAGATGTTTCACAGGTGAAATGAWTGGGTTATGAGACCCCTAACCCAGTAAATGGGTTAATCCACTGATATGGATTAACTGGAGGAAGTAGGTCACTGGAGGCAGGACTTCGTGTTTATATTTGGTGAAGTGAGCTCGTTCTGCTTCCTGGTATCATACTCTGAGCTGCTTTCCTCTGCCGTGTTCTTCCATCATGATGTTCGGTCTCACCTTGGGCCCAGAGCTTTGGATTCGACCAGCCATGGACTGAACCTTTTAAACTGTGAGCCAAAATAAATTTTCTATTCTCTGCATTATTCTCCTCAGGTCTTTTGGTCACAGTGCCAAAAAATCTGACTAAAATAATACGTTTCCAAAAGGTTCACAGACTATAACTTTTTCTTTCTCCCTTTTCCTCTCCATCTCCCTGCTTTCTCTCCCCATTTGTCTAACTATGAAGATGATTTCTTGAAATATAATCCAGAAAATTGGTTTTTATAAGAGCTTATTAATTGATGCTTACAGTTTATTAACTTTGGTAAAAAAACAAATTGTGAAGCTGTATTACAAATTAAAAATGAAGTTTCAGAAAGTCCTGACTTGTCCAGAGAGAAAACAATTTTAAAACATTTAAATGTGTATTCAAAAACCTCGGGCATTTTTTTAAAAAAATGCAGTAGTCATAAAAGAAGTTCATTTAGGTAAAAATATAAAACCCCCATGTTGCATGGGTGAAATATAGGTAGTTATAGTTATCTGATCAGTGGACAGAAAGCAAATGTTTGAGGTATTTAGCTTTTTTTGGTTACTTTTTATTGCTGGAATTTGACCCTAATGATGGTAGTCGTAGGAAACCAGCCTCCAGCCTTGCTTTCTTCACTGTTTGGAATAGATTTATCTTTGGTGTAGGATAGCTGCTTGTGTTTATAAAGATAACTCCAGCTCTACAGACATCTGAACAGGTAATTGGAATGGAGACACAGTACCTGCATTGCGGTGCCCTGGGCCTGCCTCCTTCACCTCTTCATCCTCTTTCTGTCCTCTTCTCTAGGCTGTCTCGGTAGCCGCCTCTGCAGAATCAGCATCTACAATCCTGATGTGTCTGCTTTGCCAGTCGGCCTTGTTTTGCATCCTGGTTTTCAGCACCCTCAGTTTATGCACTGGGTATTAGAATGTTTTGGTCAGTGCCTGGAGAAGAGGAATACAGTAAAATGATTTGGAACTGCTTTCTGAGTAGGGTGCTGGTGTTCAGCATGGTCTTCTGGAACCTTCTCCAGAGAAGTTTGTTTTTTTATTGTTGTTGTTGTTGTTGTTTTGTGGTGCTGGGGATTGAACCCAGGGCCTTGTGCATGCAAGGCCAGGACTCCACCAACTGAGCTGTACCCCAGCCCCTCGATCTAATCTTGTTGTCTTCAGCTGAGACACCAGTCATTGTTGGTGACTGGCCACGTCCTCACCCTTTTATCCCTCAGCAACACCCAACTCTGTGGTTTGCATTGTCCCTCAGTGCAGAACTTCTCGGACGTACTCCTTAAGGTCATCTGATGTATCAATGCATCTTCCTTGGTGTCCTTCCTGTTGATGGAGACATTCATTTAACTACTTGGCTGTGCCGAAGGCTGGCTGCACTGATCTTGTCTTTGTGGGGAAGTTCTACCACTATGAGGCTGCCTGCCTGCCTGCACGCTGTGTCATGCCCATATCCCAGGGGTGGAAGGGATGGTAGGCCTCTCTGGGGTCTTGCTTAGCTCATGCTTGCAGACTGTGGTGAGTGGGAAAGACTCAGGGCTCTCTGGAGTGTGCTGTTTACCTTCCTGTCCCAGGGGAACTGAAGAAATGCAACCTGAAAGAACTTGTTCATGGCAGAACCTTAAGTGTTGATCCCCTGCTTCTGTGGTCATCTCTCTAGTCTGGGAAAACACTCTGCTTTCTGATCGTCCATTTCCTGGCCTTTTTGTTTCTTTRCTGTGCTTGCCCACAAGCTGCTTTTCTTCTTTTTGCATATTTCACTCATCTCTTTACCCTCTGGGCCCTCAAGGATCGTCCCTACCTCTGCTCTTCTTTTACTTCCTTTCCTAGCCTGCAGTTGAACATCCTGCTCATCCTGTACCTTGTGGCGTTTCCACCCTCACAGGCACGACCGTGGTCCAGACCTGTTTTTTCTCCACTTTCTCAGAGTGCCTAACTTGAACTTACTATCTTCCTCCCCTTAAAAGTTTCTAGACAGCTCTCCCATTTATAACACGATACAACCATTTCCTCCATGGTCCAGGCTAACAACCGTGGGGCCCTAGCCCAGTCTTTCTGGTCTGCCCTGTCTTTAAATCAGTATTCTTGGACTTGTTGTATTGTTCATTAGCATGGAATCCTAGTTCTGGCTGCCCTTCCAGATTCAGGCCATTTATGCCTATCTTTAACCGTCTCCAGTCACTTTTTTAATTATCACCTTAAATGTAGTCTCCTCACTCACTCTAAGAAATTATCTGTAAAGTTGAAGTAGGCTTTCTTTTGCCATATTCATAGGTTGTTTATTGTTCTTCTTAGCTCTTTCTTTCTCCCCAATAATAGGGTTATATTCTTATTTTTAGCTTCATTAGATCATTCCCACAATAGTAGTTCTTTTTTCTCAGTTCAGGGGAACACTCACATTTTATTTTATTTCAGAAGGGGAGACAAGACCTGAAGATAGTGTTCCCCGCCCAGAACTGGGCATCTCTGAAGAAGAGCTGTCTTCAGAGGTGATAGTGGGAACATACAGAAGGGAAGATATTTGGAGTTCCCATGTCTTGGAGTCTCAGGAATCTGGATGCAATATAGAGAGGCAGCAACCAAACCAACAAACACCACCAAGTGAAGTAGAAGTGGTCAAAAAAATAGTACCCACCTGGGAGGGAGGCCCTGCCATGAACGAACTTGAAAAAAGCATCATTGTGAGTTCAAGCCTTTTAGCTCAGCAGGAAATATCTCCAGGACAGGCTTCTGCTAAAGTAAGCATCAAACAGAATTCACACACAGTGAAAAAAGAGAAGTCCTGTAAGTGCAGTGAATGTGGTAAAGCTTTTAGTTATTGTTCTGCTCTTATCCGCCATCAGCGAACACATACTGGAGAAAAGCCTTACAAATGTAATGAATGTGAAAAGGCCTTCAGCCGGAGTGAAAACCTTATAAACCATCAGAGAATTCACACTGGAGATAAGCCATACAAATGCGATCAGTGTGGAAAAGGCTTCATTGAGGGCCCCTCTCTTACTCAGCATCAAAGAATACACACCGGAGAAAAGCCCTATAAATGTGAGGAGTGTGGGAAGGCCTTTAGTCAGAGGACACATCTTGTTCAGCATCAGAGGATCCACACCGGTGAGAAGCCTTACACTTGTAATGATTGTGGAAAAGCTTTTAGCCAGAGAGGTCATTTCATGGAACATCAGAAAATTCACACAGGAGAGAAGCCTTTCAAATGTGAGGAGTGTGATAAGACTTTCACCAGGAGCACACACCTCACTCAACATCAGAAAATTCACACCGGAGAGAAAACCTACAAGTGTAATGAATGTGGCAAGGCCTTCAACGGGCCCTCGACCTTCATCCGTCACCACATGATTCACACGGGCGAGAAGCCCTATGAGTGCAACGAGTGTGGCAAGGCCTTCAGCCAGCACTCGAACCTCACCCAGCACCAGAAGACACACACCGGCGAGAAGCCCTACGACTGCGCAGAGTGCGGGAAGGCCTTCAGCTACTGGTCATCCCTGGCGCAGCATCTCAAGATCCACACTGGGGAGAAGCCCTACAAGTGCAGTGAGTGCGGAAAGGCCTTCAGTTACTGCTCGTCCCTTACGCAGCACCGCAGAATCCACACCAGAGAAAAGCCCTTTGAGTGTAGCGAGTGTGGAAAGGCTTTCAGTTACCTCTCCAACCTCAATCAGCATCAGAAAACTCACACCCAGGAGAAAGCCTATGAGTGTAAGGAATGTGGGAAAGCCTTCATTCGGAGCTCATCTCTTGCCAAGCACGAAAGGATTCATACCGGGGAGAAACCCTATCAGTGTCACGAATGTGGGAAAACCTTCAGCTACGGCTCATCCCTCATCCAGCACAGGAAGATCCACACTGGAGAGAGACCGTACAAGTGTAACGAATGTGGGAGAGCCTTCAACCAGAATATCCACCTCACACAGCATAAGAGGATCCACACAGGAGTGAAGCCTTATGTGTGTCCCGCGTGTGGGAAGGCCTTTCGGCATTGCTCCTCTCTCGCACAGCACCAGAAAACTCATACGGAAGAAAAGCCCTACCAGTGCAATAAGTGTGAGAAGACGTTCAGCCAGAGCTCCCACCTGACTCAGCACCAGCGCATTCACACTGGAGAGAAGCCCTATAAGTGCAGTGCATGTGACAAAGCCTTCAGCCGCAGCACTCACCTGACAGAACACCAGAACACGCATTCCGGAGAGAAGCCTTACAACTGCAGCGAGTGCAGGAAGACCTTCAGCCAGAGCACTTACCTGACTCAGCATCAGAGAATACATTCAGGGGAGAAGCCTTTTGGCTGTAGCGACTGTGGGAAAGCCTTCAGGTATCGTTCAGCTCTCACCAAGCACCAGAGACTGCACCCTGGCATCTGACCGTCCTGGAAGCATCGTGGGTGTAGGTGCTGCCTGTGCTTGGGTTGGTACTTTTGTTACGTACTGAAGAATCAGTAGACAGGAACTACTCAAGCATTTGAACTTTTCACTACTGTGATAAGGGATGGAAAGTACACTGGCTGAACCCCTGTGGCAGTGGGAAGCTCAAGTGTTTTAAACTTTAGTTTCCTCTGTGGAATCAGAGTTTGGGAGTTGATGATTTCAGAGGCAGTGAGGAGTTTTATACGCAGTTTTGTATATTTACAGTATATTCTTAAATAGTTTGTGCATCAGGCTTTTGTGTGGTGCATCTAGAATGTGTATGTTCATGCATGTTTTGCCAGTAGAAGGAATTCGTGCTTCAGTCACGAGGGATCTGTTACTAATGCACTAAGTTGCTTAGGTTATTGGTTTCTAATAAAAAGAACTACAAAGGACCCTCAGTTCAGATGTATGTGACAGCCTAACTCCACTTGCGTATTAAAACTTGGTAGTCAGGTGCGTGCTCTGCCCCTGTAGTCCCAGCTACCCAAGAGTCTGAGCCCAGGAGTTCAACACCAGATTGGACAACATAGTAGGATCCCAACTCAAAAAAACAAAAAGGTATTCTAGTTTATTTTTAATATTCTGGGAGTTTTATTACAGTCACAGTGGTCTGCTTCTGCATCTCACAGCAGCATTACTTAACCCTGGTTGCACATGGGAATCACATGATGTCTTAGTTTAGGTTGCTGTAACAAATTATAGCCAGGTTTGGTGGCATATACCTGTAATCCCAGAGACTTGGGAGGCAGTAGGATTACAAGCTCGAGGACAGCCTCACCAACTTGGTGAGACCCTGTCTCAGAAAATAAACAAGGATGGGGATATTGCTTAGCAGTAGAGTACCTCCGGGTTTAATCCCAGTTCCATAAAATAAACCAACARAAATTTATCATAGAAGTTTATGGAGTCAGAAATCTGAGGTCCAGGCTCGAATGGACCTAGTATCTGCTGACAGCCCACTTCTTGGTTGTAGATAGCTGTTTTCTTGGATGCTTACTTGGCAAAGAGCAAAGAAAGAGAAAGCAAGCTCTCTTTTTTATAGGGTACCAGTTAAGTTCATGGGGGCTCCACCCTCAACCTAACACCTCCCCTCAGTGCCTCACACCAAATACTGTCCCACTGGGGTAAGCTGCCAACGTGTGCATTTGGACCGGACACTTCAGGAACGCCACACAATTCCATTGCCCAGGCCCCACCCCATAGAATGTAACCCACTTGGATTAGGATATGGGATCCAGGATCCAGGTTTTTTTTATGTTGTTTGCTTTTAACGTCTCATGTGTACCCTGGAAAGAGCAATTGGCTTAGATTTCAGTGCCCACTCCTTCAGTCAGGAGCTTCTGTGGCTGCTCCTGGAAGCCTCCTAGATTAGCTATCAGAGGTAAGGTCAGTTTGTTTCGTCACCATAGTGCAAAAACAAAATTATGACGTTTACACTGATGACGGTCATTTCACATGTCTCTGGCTTCCTTACATCAGAAGCAGTTGACACCCTGGGGAGACATGGCCCATAATGTACATGACCACTCTGGCCCTGTTCAGGAAACACCTCTAGGTGCAGGCTAGTTTTTATCAGGCCAGGTCATTTAAGAGTAGTTGGTCATTTCTCAGCCTGAACTTGAACATGAAGAGCTCTTGAGAGCAGCAGGCAGCACAGAAATGGGTATTTCCAGAAAAGAAGAGGGGGTGAGGACAACCAGTGCTGTTCTCTTTGCTTATGTAATTGTGCTCCTTCCTTGACTGAAGATGCCCGTGAAGGACAGATGGAAGTCAGAAGTGAAACAGTGCAGCCACTTAGGTACTGGACTTTTGTTTGTTGCAGTTTGAAGCAGCTATACAGGAATGTTTCTTGTTATTAGTTTCCCAAGTCTGTCTTCTTGCAGGAATCATAGTTATCCCATCACTTGGAGAGGGGGACACAGTCATCTTTGCCTGGCATCTGAGTAGCCCCCACAGTGCAAAGAAATGTGGAGTCTACATACAGCCCCAGAGGAGATCTGGAAATGGACAAAATCAGTCTGCAGTGGAAGGATGGGTCACTTCAGTTCCCATATGAAAAAAGAATTCAGGTGGAAATTCCACTAAACCTGAAAAATGACAGTTGGTGGCATTTGATTTTATCTCATTACAGGTACTCTTGGATCAGACTCGGCGCCAAGAATGTGTGATCACCTCCTATCTCAGTCACACTCCTGCAGAAGTRACCTCTCGGGCCTCCCTCTGCTTGCGCGGGCTGTTTCCCCGTGTTTTAGAAGGTGCTAACTACTCCCAGGTGATCGAGGTTGAGAAGGGCAAGCAGCCAGGCCTCSGAAGTTAGCATCGTCCTGTTTCTGGATCTCCTTCTTATGTATTTGGCATCTTTGCTGGCTGTCCCAGACCATGTCCCTAAGCAGTAGACCTGCAATTGCTGCTGATCCAAGGATCTGTCCTTTATCACCCCAGATGCACCTCGGCTCCCTACTTCCCTTTTTTTATACCTTAACTCCAATTTAAGAACAGAACAAGGGGGCTGGGGATGTGGCTCAAGCGGTAGTGCGCTCGCCTGGCATGCGTGCGGCCCGGGTTCGATCCTCAGCACCACATACAAACAAAGATGTTGTCTCCACCAAGAACTAAAGAATAAATATTAAAATTCTCAAAAAAAAAAAACAGAACAGAACAAGGAAGGACTATCATTTCTGACTTTTCCCCCTCCTGATTCTATAATTCTCTGTCATCTGTATCATACACATATGACACTAATATTAGTTCCTTCATATTTATCAACTGGGAGTGTAAGCAGAATTAAAATCTAGAGAATCATAGATGCAGCTCACCACCTGTGGGACCACTGACCCTGGATGGTGAGAGCTGTGACCTAGTCAGTCCCTCCTCGTTGGAGTGGACTGGTGGTCACCACAGGCAGGTGGGGCGTGCCTGGAGGAGGAGGGTCACTGGGGACCTGCCCGGCATTCTCCCTGTGGCCCCTTCCTTCCTTCCCTGCTCCCTGAGCTGAGCAGCTTCCCTCTGATGGGCTCTTCCTCCGTGGTGTGCTGCCTCCCTCACCTTGTGCCCAGAGCAGTGGAGTTGGCCATCTCTGGACTGAGACCTTTGAGCCCCAATAAATTTTTCTTTCTCTTAGTTGTTTTTTATTTTACTTTTCCACGTGTTTCAGTCACAGTGATGCAAAAGCTCACTGAAACAGATGCAAGCCCGGGGTTAAAACTTGTGACACAGCCTCTATGTGTRCTTGACTTTAGTAGACACTGCCAAATAGTTTGCCGAATAGTTCCCCAGTTTACAGTCCCACCACCCATGTTTGAGAACTTCCATTGCCCCACATCTTTGCCAACTTCTCACTCACTGTGGCCGTCAACAGCCACTGTTTCAARTAGGGTGTTGGAGAGGCTAGTCTGGAATAGGGCAGAGTTCCACTCCAGAGAGATGCTTTGGAGAGTCTGCATTGTATATTTAAAGTTGTGGGACTGGATGCCATGGCTGAAGTGGGGGGTGGAAGTAGATAAAGAAAAGTTCTGAGGACTGGCCCTTGGTAACTCCAGCTTCTAAGGGCTGGGGCAGAGGTCACTGATAAAGTACTTGCCTAGTAAGTGTGAGGCCCTGGGTTCCAATGCCACCACCACACACATATCCAACTTTTAGAAATCAGGAAGATGAGGATCCACATGGGAAGCAAGCTGCAGGTGTTTCTGGAGGTCGAGCAGCAGAGTATAGAATCCTGGAAGCCAGAGAAAGCCGTGTTTCGGGATGAGAGGCTGACCATCGTGGCAGACACTGCTGAGGCGGAATGAGAGGCAGACAGTCGGCCTCAGACTTGGCAAAGGGGACAAGGGTGATCTTAAAAGCAGTTTTGGAAAAGTATATCTAAACCCTGGAGGGGTAAATATGAGAAAGGAAGCAACTGGAGAAAGCAAATTTGAACACTGGGTTTTGCTGTAAAAGGAGGAGGACATGGGTAGTTGCCAGCGGGTATCATGGAGTGGGGACTTCGAAACATGAGGTACTACAGTTGGAAAGCTGTTGGGATTGGACCAGAGAGGGAAAAATGGTGATCCAGAAAAGAGAGATGAGTAGCATGGAGTCCTTGAGGAAGCAGGATGAGATGAGCCTTGGGTGCAGTGGCAGGGCTGGCTTAGAAGACAAGCACAGTGTGGTTGTTAGGATAGGAGGGGACATGAGTCCTCGCGCTTGGTCGAGGGGCTGGGGGAACATCTGACATTCCCTTCTGTTTTGATTTTTCGTAGAAATTAGGTAACAAATTAAGSATAAGAAGAGGTTAAAGAGGTGTTAGAGAGGTTTGAGGAGAGGCGATGAGGTCAACTCCTACAGTGTGGGAGAGGGAACTGWTCTTAGAGATGTAGGGTTGGAGGCAGCACCAGCAGTGCCCCATGAGTTACAGGGAGACAAACTGTCATTAAGTGTCCTTCAGCAACGGTTAGCTGTGTGGGAGCAGGGGTAGAACAAGCTGAAACCGGGATAGCCAGAAATTTTCTAGGAGAAGAGACCAAGAGCAGGGGTGCTTACATAAGGGGATTGCTGCGAGGGTTATAGAATTCAAGCTGGGAGGAAAGAATAAGGGTTGGAGGAGGGTGGTGGGAGAAGGTGAGGGATTATCGAGGAAAAAAAATTCATGGCTCTTACAATTTTAGGTTTTGTGGGGACTGAAGAAATGGAGCAGATGTCGTAGTCTCCCAAAGAGTGAGGGAGTGCCTTCTGCCAGAAGGGCGGGTGGTCCAGTTGTCAGCTGGGGTCTCCATGCAGCTAGGGGCTCTGGGTGACAGAATCATGGCCTGAAAGTGCATCAGAGAACTAGAAGTCACCTTCCTCTGCCCCAGGCCTGGGTAAGTTAGGTGTGGATGTTGAAGCAAGGAAGAGGGGCCAGAATCTTCTGGAGAGTTGTTTTTGAATCTGTGATATATGTTCTTGTGAATTTCATTGTTATGCTGAATGTCAACCAGAAAGTTACTTGGACAATTTGGAAACATTTTGAATTAAGGATGGTGATTGAAGAGCCTGGTTTCTCAAATCTCACAGTAAAAAAGAACAAAGAAGAAGAAGAAAGGCAATAGAAGAGGGCCCTTAGATCCCCAGCACCATGAAACAAATTGATTTTTTGTTTTTTGTTCATCAGTGTGATTTTGCTTAACGTGAGTCAGTCCCTTCTTCAACCCCTACTGCTGATCATACCTAGTTTTAAGAACTCGGCACTAGGCTCTGGACGATGACTACAGCAACAGTTATTCATTGAATAGCAACATTGCAGTCCACTTTTGAGGCATGATCTCATTTTCTTATAACAACCCCAGGAGGTTCGTGTTGCCATACCCATTTTCATAAGTGATGAAACAATCATGTAAGTGGTGGAGACAGCTTTCAATTTCTGGTCTTGCTTTTCCTCTCATCACGATGCCTACCACAGGCAGTGCTGTCCTGGGTACTGGGTTTTGGGTAGTGACAAGGACATAGCCACACCCTTGCTTCAACCTCCATCACAGTTTGGAACTTCTCTTTCATATACCCAGTATTTAATCTCTATGGCACTTCCCTTTTGGGCCTAAGCCATCACACAGATGCAAAAATACTTAATAAAACATTAGCAAATCATGTCCAACAACATTTCAAGATTACACACCATGACCCAGATGGTTTTATTCCACAGGTGCAAGGATGGTTTAAAATATGCAAATCAATAAATATGATTCATCACCTAAAGAGGATTAAGGCCAAAAAAAATCACCAAATCATCTCAACAGATGCAGAGAAGATCTTTGACAAAATTTAGCACCCATTCATGATAAAGACACTGAAGAAACTAGAGAGGGGCTGGGGATGTGGCTCAAGCGGTAGCGCTCTCGCCTGGCATGCGTGCGGCCCGGGTTCGATCCTTAGCACCACATACCAACAAAGATGTTGTGTCCGCCGAGAACTAAAAAAAATAAATAAATATTAAAATTCTCTCTCTCTCTCTCTCTCTCTCTCTCTCTCTCTCTCCTCTCTCTTTGAAAAAAAAAAAAAAAGAAACTAGAGATATAAGGAACCTACCTCAATATCATAAAGGCTATATATGAAAAATCCAAAGCCAACCTCATAGTAAATGGGGAAATACTGAATGCATTTTCTAAAATATGGGACAAGACAAGATGTCCACTCTCACCACTCCTATTAAATATAGTGCTAGAGGGCTGGGGTTGTGGCTTAGTGGTAGARCACTTGCCTAGCCAATGTGAGGCACTGGGTTCGGTCCTCAGCACCACATAAAAAATAAAATAAAGGTATGTGTTCATTTATAACTATTTTTTTAAATATAGTGCTAGGAAATCTAGCCAGAGTAATTAGGAAAGAGAAGGAAACAAAAGGGATAAAAACAAAAAAAGGAAAAAGTCATATTTTCACTGTTTGCACATGATTTGATCCTATACCAAGAAGATTTAAAGAACTGTACCTAAAGACTGTTAGAGCTAATGAATACATTCAGCAAAGTAGCAGGTTACAAAATCAACATACCTTTCATATATCCCAGCAGGGATTCTGCTGAGAAAGAAATCGGGGAAACAATTGCTTTCACAATAGCCCCAAGAAAATGAAATAACAAGGCATAAAGCTAACGAAGGAGGTGAAAGACCTCTACAATGAAAACTATAGAACAYTGAAGAAAGAAATTGAAGAACTCAGAAGATGGAAAGACCTCTCATGTTCTCGGATAGGCAGAATTCATATTGCTAAAATGACCATACTACCGAAAGGAATATACAGATTTGATGTAGCCCATCAAAATATCAATGACGTTCTTCACAGCACTAGAAAAATCAGTCCTAAAATTCATATGGAAGAATAAAAGGTCCAAATAGTCAAAACAATTATAACCCAAAATAATGAATAAATAATGCTAGAAGCATCACAATTTCTGACTTCAAAAATCTACTACAAAGCCATAGTAACAAAACCTGCATGATACTAGCATAAAAATAGGCACCTGATCAATGATACAGATTAGAAGACAGAGAAAAACCTGTGCATCTACAGCCATCTGATCCTTGATAAAGGTGCCAAAAACATACAATGGAGAAAAGATAGTCTTTTTAACAAATGGCACAAGGGAAACTGGTTATTCATATGCAGAAGAGAAAAACTAGATCTTTATCTCTCACCCTGCACAAAAGTCAACTCAAAATGGATCAAAGATGTAGGAATTAGATCAGAAACTATGCAACTTCTAGAAGAAATGTAGGGTTAATCCTACAACATATAGGCACAGGCAACGGYCTTCTGAATAGGATACCTAAGGCTCAGGAAATAAGGCCAAGTGTTAATAAATGGGTTGCTATGGAATTTAAAAAGCATCTGTACAACAAAGGAAACAATTATCAATGTGAGAAGAGAAGCTACAGAATGGTAGAAAATCTTTGCTAGCTATTTTTCTGACAGAGAATTAATATCCAGAATTTCTAAAGAAATCAAAAAACTTTACACCAAAAATTAGATAATCCAATTAATAAATGGGCAAATGAACTCAACGCATACTTCTCAAAGAAATACAGCAGCCAAAAAATACATGAAAAAATGTTCAACATCATTAGCAATTAGGGAAATGCAAACCAAAACTACACTGAGATTTCATCTCACATCAGTCAGAATGGATGAATGGATAAAGAAAATGTGACATATATAAAAAATGGARTTTTATTCAGCCATAAAGAATGAAATTATGTCATTTACAGGAAAATGAATGGAATTATAGACCATTTTAAGTGGAATAAGTCAAACTCAGAAGGTCAAGGGTGGTATATTTTCTCTCATAAGCAGAAGCTGGAAAGGAAAAAGAAAAATGTGGGGGTGGATCTCATGAAAATCAAAGAGTGATCTGTATYAGAAAGGGACGAAGGGGTGAATGGTGGGAATGGAGGAGAGAAATAATGGGGATCAATATTGGCCAAATTATATTGTTATATTGTCTGCATGTAGGAATATGTAACAACAAATCCCATCATATGTACAACTATAATATCCCAATTAAAAGATGTAGAAAAAAAAAAGACCAGGAACAAGACAAGCCTGGCTGATTTGCCCATATCTGGTCTATATGGAATTAGAAATTCTAGCCAGGGGCTGGGGATGTGGCTCAAGTGGTAGCGCGCTCGCCTGGCATGCCTACAGCCCGGGTTCGATCCTCAGCACCACATAACAAACAAAGATGTGTCCGCTGAAAACTAAATAAATAAATAAATATTTWAAAAAAAGAAATTCTAGCCAGACTAATTAGTCAAAAAAGAAAAAAAAAATGGTATCCAAAGAGGTAAGGAAGAAGCGAAATTATCTTTGTTMACAGATGACATGATCTTATATATAATAAACCCTAAAGATCTCACACAAACACAAAAGAGCTACTAAATCGGTTCAGCAAAGTTATAGGATACAAAATCGACACACAAAAATCAATTTCACTGCTATACATTAAGAATGAATAATTTTAAAAAGAAATTAAGTAAATGGAAAGACGTTTGATGCTTAATGGATTGGAAGACTTCACACTGTTATGAGCACAACACCACCCAAAGTAGTTTACAGATTCAATGTCATCCCTATCAAAATCCCAGTGGTGGCTTTTTCTCCCTCCAGAAATTGTGAGACCCCCCCAAATAGCCAAAAAAAAAAACTTCACAAAATTTTGAAACATTTCCTGACTTCAAAGCATACTGCAAATCTAGAGTAATCAAGACTGTGATACTGGTATAAGGGCAGACCTCTGAGCCAATGGAATAGAATAGGCTGCCAAGGCCATTCAATGAGAAAAGGATGATTTTTTTTTTCAACAAATGGTTCTGGGGAAACTGCGAACCACATGCAAAAGTTTGAATAAGGACCCTTGGCTACAACATACACAAAAATTCATTCAAAAGGGATCAAAGACCTAAATCGCCGGAAGTCATCCGTAACCCTTGTGTGAACTGAGCCATGCGTAAATTGAGTGATGTTGAGGCCATTAGGCAGGGAAGCTTGGATTCGGGAACTCCCAGTCAGATTCTACTGGTCTGAGAATGCCCAGTCCATGTGGCACCCTGTTCAAGCTCCCCATCAAGTACTAGCATAGTTCCAGAGATCGGGTGACCCGATGAAGCCACTCAGCCTCTCGGAGATGCATGTGGCTTGCCAAAATGCCAATCAAGCTGTTTACTGCAAGACCCTGCCACACCGAGGAGAAGCTAGGGCAGAACCAAGACACTTCCAGCTGAAACATTACCCCTGCCTTTGATGTACTCCCTCTTCAATAAAGGACTGGGGCCTTTTTCCAGTTGTTTAGTTACAGCTCCTATCAGGACTGGAAGACCCTTCAGGCACTCCCCTCTTTATATCTGATTTCTGGCTCTCTTTATTTCTTACTGATTATTTTAGACTTAATTTCCTAGGTGGCTCACACCTCCTGAGCAGGAACCTACCAGATGGATTGGAAGACTTCACACTGAGGACAACACCACCCAAAGTAGTTTCCAGAATCAATGCCATCCCTATCAAAACATGCAGGTCACCTGGCAATACTAAATATAAGTGCCATCACACAACTTTTAGAAGAAAACAGGAGAAAATCTCCATGACACTGAATTTGGCAGTGACTTGTTGTGTACTATACGCACACATTCGTAGTGGTATTGTTCCCAACAGCTCAAAGATGGGAGCAACCCAAGTGACCACTAACATCTAAATGGACAAACAAAATGGTATGTGCTTAAAAATAAGGAGATTCTGACATGTTAGGACATCCATGAATTCTGAAAATGTGCTAAGAGAAGCCAGACAGGAAGGGACAAACACCCGTGATTCCCTGTCTTCAAGGCACCTGAGTAGGTAGCTTATGGAGACAGACGGTGGGTCAGCAGTTACCAGGCTCCAGGGTCACAGGGTGATGGTCACTGTTTGATGCACACAGACTGTTGGGCACGGTGAATGGTTCTGGAGAGCCCAGCCATTGCTGTAGGTTGCAGTGTACTTAATGCCACCTGAATGCAGGCCATCAAAGTGGGAAACCCTATGTGTGTCTCACCAGAATGAAAATCGTAAACAAGATCCAACACGGTTCATAATATGATGAACGGGACTGGCATGTGGTTGTGGTGAGGGAGGTGATGAGGCCTTCTGGGGACATGGTAAGTGAGCTCCAGCTCCTCTGGTGGCCCAGCGACTCACACCAAGTGCCACGGATGACTGCTCTGTTGATGGACTCCAGGCCAGCAGGTGGACAGGACTCGGAGGGCGTGATCCAGCTCTGTTCCACCCTGGCTATTCAGGGATCAGGTGCAAGGTTGAAGGTGAGGCTGAAATCACCTGTAGGGCCATTCGCTTACCTGCCTGGCAACTGATGCTGGCTTTCTGCTGAGACTTGTGTTGCTGTAGGTAGAAACCCCAGAGGGCTCCTCTCCAGGTGGCCTAGGCTTTCTCACAGGATGGCGCTGTGTCTCAGAGGTGACCCTCCTGAGAGAGAGACAGGTATCACACCTTTTATATCCTCAGCTTGGAAGTTGCTCACTGGCACTGCTGTCAAAGACTATTCATGGGTGCAGTAGCAAAGTCCCCCCCAGGTATGAAGTGGCGTGGGACAACAGGAGCCACCTCCTGCTTGAGAGTGGCAAGCTCTGGGAGAACACTGGGCCTAGAGAGATTTCTGTGGTCATTCACGGAAGGCAGAATCTCCCGCCATACTGCAGGTGAGAGGAGGCAACCACAGAAAGAAGCCACAGAAAAATCTGCTGTCTCTCCTTCCACCCAAGGGACGGCTTCTCAAACTTGGGGCAAGGCTAGGGTGCCCCTTTGCCTTCCAAGCTAACAGAGACTTTGAGACAAAGAGCTCTTAAAAAAATTTTACCTGTTTTTTGTTGCTGCTCCTTCTTTCTACAGTTGAGACAGCTGAGAAGGGATTGCATACATATCAGACAGCATGAGGTTTTCAGAATCTTTACGTGAGCCACCAGGCTTCTGTCCCTGRCATGAGACATATCCACTTTCACCTGCCTTACTATGAATTCCTTTTACCAGATTCTTAACCCTTCACTCAGAAACCACCTGTAATTAAAGGCCTGCTTCCATTTCTGGTGGACGCTGCCCACAGTTTTCAAGCCACCCCACCCACTACCTCTCACCTGTACAAGTGGTAAGAAGGCCTGTGCTCCCTCCCCTGGAGTCCTAGCAGGGCAAGGTGGGTTTGTCCAAACCACACAATCCCTAGCCGTGTAGGGGCCTGCACATCAGCCCAACCCAGTCACCATAAAACCCTGAGCTGGGAGTCCCTCCCCACTCTCTCAAGATATTTTCAGACCTGGGAGCCTGCCGTGCTCCCCCTAGAAAGCCTTATTGTATGGATGGTGAACTTCACACTCTTTTAGTGCGTGTGTGGATCATCAGTCTTGACCTCTGAAGCAAAGTCTGTATGGTTGGGGAGACTTCATCCTGCCTCTGTGGGTGACTATCCCACTACTCCAGTCTGAATCCTTTGAGGAGCACAACTCAGGTTTTCAACTGGACATCTTTATGCACAGGTGTGAGGAATCAAATTGTTTCCCTATATAAATTCTGGCTCGTTTACAAAAGCACACTATAAAATGACAATCATGCCTAGTTGCTGGATTGGAACAGATGCACTGTTAAACCATGCATAACTACTTGCTTCCTGTTTCATTTGGTCGTCTGTCAATGCTAGAGAGTGTTGGCAGTTGCAAGTAAAAAAAAAAAAAAAACTATGGCAGAACAAGTTGATGTTGAGAAGAAAATGAGTCCACCAACGTTTCCCTCTGTAAAATGCAACTGTTAATTCTTACTGGCAGTATATCTCTGCCCATCTAATGGCAAAYACTTGCTCCCGGGAAAGCTGGATGCAGCACTGGCAAGGTCAGGGGAGTTCATTCCCTCTGGGTGTGTTCGTGTGACCACGGTGTGGAGAGGGGACAGAAAGGTGACCAGCATGGATGATCTCCCAGTGGGGTCAGATCTGCAGTCCTGTCCTGTGAGTATGTGTTCTCTGCCTCAGATGCCTGGGCCTGGAGGAGCCATCTTGAACAGGATCAAGGGGACACATCCTTACCTTGGCCTATGAGAAGGGTAGTTCTGAGACTAGTACAGATTGAGGGAAACCTGGAATCAGTTCTGAGRGGCTGATGGCCCTGCTGTTGCCTACGACAGGGAACAAAAGAGGGGCAGGGGTCTCTTTGTTTGATCCCTTACCCACTCTAACTTTAGTAGAGTCCAGCACTGTGAAGAAAGTATAACCAAAGATCAGTGGAACTCCACCACCTGGCAACTGTAGACAAATGTGACCATCCTGATCCTGAAAGAGCAGGAATTTAACACATGGACATGGTAATTAAAGCTGGAGATTTATTCCCATGGTTCTGGAGCCCCAGCCTCTAAACTCACTTTCATTGGTCCATAGTCAAGGCACTACAAGCCCAGAGGAGGGACTATGCCTCACCTGCTCCAGGTGGCGAGACCTTGGCTTTGTGGCCACCTCTTTCCAACCTGCCTCTCTTCTGAGTCTCATCAGCTCTCTCTGTGCCTTCCCTCATAAAGATCCATGTGATTGCATTCAGGGTCCACCCTGATAACCAGGTCATCTCCTCACACCTGCAAAATCCTTCTGTGATGTATAAGATAACATCCAGAGTTTCCAGGAACTAGTATAACCAGATTTCTGGCAGAATAAATCTCTCTTGTCTACAATCTCTCTTGTCTCCCACCCTGTGCAGTTGAAGGAATTCAGAACATACCCTCCTAAAATAAGTTGCTCTGCAATATTGATAATTTTAAGTCACATGGAAAGAGCAGGTGAAGATCACTGTGATCTTCCTTCTTAAAGCAGATGAAATTGCAATGCAAAACATGTCTTCCCTAGGTCAGAAGGAAAGTGTCATTGTCATCAAAGGGAAAAGCAGAGGCTGGGGGAAACCTGCACACACAATTCTTTACCCTAACTCTTACCTTCCTAGTGATCTCCACCAAACTAACCACTCCAGCCCAAGCCCCCCTTCCTGGTCACATTTTCACAGTGGAGTACTCCATCAACTCAGTACCTAGATGCTCAACTCTGCTTCTATGGGTCCCTGTTTCCTTATGAAAGTTCTATTTTTTTTTTATTTTTTAAATATTTTWATTTTTTAGTTCTTGGCCGACACAACATCTTAGTTTGTACGTGGTGCTGAGGATCGAACCCAGGCCGCACGCATGCCAGGCGAGCGCGCTACCGCTTGAGCCACATCCCCAGCCCCAAGAAGAAAGGCCTTATGAAAGTTCTGATGCTATGAAAAAATTTGTATTGGGGGCTGGGGATGTGGCTCAAGCGGTAGCGCGCTCGCCTGGCATGCGTGCGGCCCGGGTTCGATCCTCAGCACCACATACCAACAAAGATGTTGTGTCCTCCAAGAACTAAAAAATAAAAAATTAAAAATTCTCTCTCTCTCTCTCTCTCTCTCTCTCTCTCTCTCCTCTCTCACTCTCTTTGAAAAAAAAAAATAAAAATTCTCTCTCCTCTCTCATTAAAAAAAATAATTAAAAAAAAATTTGTATTGAATAAATTTGCATGTTTTCACTGTTGATTTATCATATGTCAATTTAATTCTCAGGCCCCAAAAAGCTTCAAGAGGGTACATACAGGTAAAATGTGCCTCCTCATGGAGTCTGTAGAGATCAACTTTTTGGTGGGCTCACAGGAGGAAATGAAGGCACATGGAGGGGCAAATAGGTGGGAACAGCTGCAGTGGGGGGGTAAGGAAGAATGGCACTGGGCAATTTGTCATCAGTTGAAACGAGAGATTGCAGTCCATGCATGAGTGTGTGTGTTTGCAACAACAGCCCCCGGTGTGCTGGGCTTTACTGTGCAAGTCATCTAAGTAAGAAGGCAAGGAGACAAGGACAAGGCCTGCTATGACTTGGCCTCTGAGGCCACAGATGTCACATCCATTTTGTTCCCGGGTAGGAAGCCAGTAAGTCCAGTTCCCCCTAGAGGGCAGGGGAGTTTGGCTCCACCTTTGCAAGCCATATCAAGGAAATCTGGGAATGTCTTTCAAACCACTGTTGAACTTATCTGTTGTAGTGGTGAGGATTCCATGAGACAAAACATGTGCWACTTAGAACAGTGTCTGGGACACATCAGCCAATTTGAACAATGCAGCGTCCAGGCTTTCCTGGCAAGTTCTCCCACATGGGGAAGCCCCTAGAATAGGAAGATGAGAGGAGAGAGCCTCTGTGGCTGCCAGAGTTGGGAAGGAGTGCAGTGACTACTCTTCCACCTCAAAAGGTCCTACATTTTGGATTTAAACAAAGGTTGAGTGAATATCTGCCATTTCACTTATCATACATTCTATGATTCTCAGATTCTCATGGTAGGTCTTTGAGGGATGGGGACGCAACCCTTATTCCCAATTTTTCAGATGAGAAAAACCGAGGCTCATGTCTCATCATGTAACATCTCACATAGTTAATGGCTCTGTGTAAACTAGTGTCCTGGATTCTCTGGACCTGATATTTTGTGAAACTTGCTACACAGCAAGTGAAACTACAAGTAACTTAGCCTTTGTTTCCCTCAACTGTCTTTTGGGTCAAAGGATTTAGGAGAGTGTGACCAATRCAGTTTGGCTTGGATGGGAATGAACACAGATTTAGCAGTGTCTTGTGTCCCAGACTAACCTTTCTTCACTGGGAACAGATGCTGTATCCTTTAATCATCTGTAAACCCTAGAAGGTGGACCTTCTTTGTAAGGAAGGAGACTTCAATAAGCAAGTGGGTGGTGATTTTTTGCATGTGAATTCTAGGTGCAMCAGAGTAGGACTTTATTTCCTAGGACTTCTTTTCCAGAAGGGAGCATTGAGGTGAAATTGACTGCTTTGTTGCACACATGCTAGAAGCAGCAAGAAGGCTGAAGAAGTGGGCTTTGGGGACAGGCTTGTCTTGTATGGCCTACTGAGAATGAGGTAGACATTTCTAGCAGCAACATAAAAGTAGGAAAAGATGAGAGGCAGAGGCCAGAAATTTTGGCAAAGCTAAGAGATCATATGTGAATTCAGTGATGGCAGCAAAGGAGAAGAGACAGTTCTGGGGTGTCACCAACAGAGTTTGTATACAACTCAATGTGGTATGTGAGGAAAAGAGAAGAGGCACAGATGACATCTGGTTTAACTAAGAGGTACAGTTGGCGGGAGTCTTCACCCTGTCAGCACTTAGATGGGACCGCACCTAATGTTTGAGCATGTTCRTCAGTGCTGATCCCCCCGCCCCTTACAACACCTAATAACTCCTCCCATTGGCTTGGCTTGGCCACCAAGTCACGCAGCCACCCCCACGGCTCCCAGTGTGAAGCTGCAGCGGAGGGGTTGAGCTGCAGAGCGGTGGCCCCAGCCGCSGAAGCACAGGCGGAGAGCATGGGCTGCAGCCTCTGGAGCCCCACTGCGCTCCAAGCCTGCACAAGCCCCGGTGCAGTGAGGCAGAG